TCTATCTATCTATCTATCTATCTATCTATCTATCTATCTATCTATCTATCTATCTGTCTATCTATCTATCTGTCTGTTTATTTAGGCTGATCTTGTAACCCCAATACGTTTCTCTCCATCTGCCCCCCCCCTACCTCTCTCTCTCTCTCTCTTTCTCTCTCTCTCTCTGTCTCTCTCTGTCTCTGTCTCTTTTTCTTTCTCTCTCTCTCTCTCTCTCTCTCTATCTATCTATCTATCTATCTATCTATCTATCTATCTATCTCTCTCTCTCTCTCTCTCTCTCTCCCTCCCTCCCTCCCTCTCTCCCTTCCTCTCTCCCTTCATTCTTTACCCCCTTTCTCTGTATCTTTCTGTCTCTATCTGTACTATCGCTACAACATTAAAAAAATTATTTCAGAGAAAGAGGCACTAGATAAGTCGCAATCTGCGTCCTGTATCTCTGCAACAACACCTCAAGAGAAGTCCAGAGAACTGCTAAGACACTTGACGAAGAAGAGCGAGCTGATCCCCAGTCCCCGGGTGTTTCAAATGATTGACGAGCACGCTAAGAATGTGAGTGACATGGTGAAATTAAATGGTAAAATGGTATAGGCTTCACGCCCCTATCAACACAATTAGGCAGGCTATTTAAGAGGCTGAACCTCTGAGGTTAACGTCCATCTCGGAAAAGACAGCCAAACGGGATATTCATGTTAAGTGCCTTTCCCAAGGACACAGCTTCGGACCGGGCTGACGCTCGAACCTGTGGGTGACTGAGTAAATCAATTACTGATGAGAACGGATTTAGCTGCTCTTTGAAAAATTTGTGACACATTAGTGAAATTAGGTGCTCGTCAATTTTAGAGCATATTATATCGTTATTGGTATAATCTTTAAGCCTGTTCTTCTGTTTTTGCTTTTGGTGAAAAAATAACACCCTATCTTGAACAGAAGTCAATATTTTTCTGATTCAAGGAGGTGGGGGTTGTCTGGTGCAAGACGTTTACTTAGCGAGGACATAGCCGCCAAAAGTCCCGTGACTTCCAGACTGGAGTGTCTTTGGAAATTGCAAATTTACTTTTTTGGTGCGTTTCATGAACGTTTTATTTCCCAAACCTTGGCACAGAAATGTGTTCTTAAACGGACATAATTAATGTTGTTGTTTTTATGTTACTTGATTTGCACTGGTTTTGACATTTTTTATTTTGAATAATTAATTCGAACCTTGACAACTTTATGAATTTAACTGCAAATGGCAAAATTTCACGGTTTATACAGTTTTTTTCTGATTCAATAAAGAAATCCACTCTCAAGCTCTTCGAAGTTTTTTTTTTGTGGTACTAGTTGTCACGAATGCACTCTGGCAATTTCACATCTGTTGACAGTCATCACAGGAAAACATTATTATACTGCTTGCTATTTATTTATTATATTATTATTATGTGCACCCCCCCCCCCCTCCCCAACCACACGCTCCCCTGCTCAAACCCAATCCTCCTTCTCTCCTCTTGCTTCCCACCTCATTCCCTCCTCCCCGGGCTCCCCACTAACGCCACTACCTGCCCCCCTGCCCTCACTGCCTCCCTAACACCCTTAATTCCCTCACCCCACCTCCCCCCCCCCCCGTTTATGGACCAGACTCCCCGTGAGATGTCCACTAGCATTGACCGTCTGGTGACCTACCTGATGTCTTCCTGTACCACCACGCTCAACACAGTTCGCATTCTCTACATGTGGATCACGCTACACGTCAAGTGAGTGCGTGTACGCTCTTTAGTTTTGTTTTAGTAAGCGTTTAACGGCATTTGCAACACAATAAGGTCATATAAGTACCGATAAAGGTAAAAGGTAACTCAAGAGAGTAACAAGCACAAAAAAGAAGGAGGAGAGATAAGGACGATAGATTAATGATAGGAAAAGGTGCAAACCACATCAGAGGACCCACCAACCACCCGCTTGTATGCTCTTTCAGTGAAGCCCTCTGCCCTCTACAGAAAAAAGAATAAAGTGCATGGCTTTAACTTCCCTATCAACATTATTTGGTTATTTGAGAGGCTTCACCTCCGAATTTAACATCCGTCTCCGTTAGATCCATGCTAGTTGGGACGGGAGCCTTGAAAACTCCACAAAACGACTCAAGTTCAAGAATACCCAGTTTGGGATTCGAACAAGGGCCATCCACTCCGTAGTCCACCATGATACCAACTGAGCTAATTGAGCACCTGTCCTTTACAAAAGAAAGTCTGACGCTTGTATATCAAAGAACGGCATGTTATCATTCCATCGGCATTCTGTTCAAAGTAAAAGTACTGGGCCGAGAAAGCAACATTTTTAGGAGAGTGTAAAAACAATGATATTTATAGTTTTTAACATACCTACATTATTCATCTTTTCTTGCTTTCTGCAACGTTTAGAATTTGAATTTCATCAAAATATTTCTTAAGCACAGGGAGCCGATGCTTAGATTCTGTAATTTTAAAGTAAAACAAACAGAAAAAAAAAAGAATTTACAAATTTGGGCTTAACACATCTTAGGGGGAAATTTGTTTTATTTTGTCATCTCTTTTCGCCCTGATTGACCTAAATTGTCCCGGTTGTATATTTTTTTCATGTGTTAACATAGCCCAATCGTGTACAATAGAATAAATGTTATTAGTATTTATCTCTAGAAATTTTGAGGTTACTATTTTAGGTCAGCAGTCAACGATTATCTGTATTTCTTTCTTACTGCACTTTCTGTTAGATGTTAGAATGTTCATTTCAGTCTGCCGATGTTAAAGGGGCATAAAATGAGGTAGATCCGTCTCCTTTACCGTTGTGATTTTGTGAGTATTTACTCTTCAGTTAATAACAGTTTCTGGCTGTTACTTGCTCAGGTACAACAACACCCGTCTGAGCACCCAGGAGATGTCCAGCTTTGACCCTGAGGCTGTGCTGACCACTCGCAGATCGTCCTTGTCGGAGATCAATCTCCTCTTTCACCACTTCTGTCAGTGAGTACATAGTACTTCTGTCAGTGAGTACACAGTACTTCTGTCAGTGAGTACACAATTAGTACACAGTGAGTACACAGTACTTCAATCAGTGAGTGCACAGTACACAGTATTTCTGTCCGTGAGTACATATTACTTCTTTTAGTGAGTACACAGTATACAGTACTTCTATCAGTGAATACATAATACTCCTGTTAGTGAGTACTCACTACTTTTTTCAGTGAGTACACAGTACTAATACATAGTGCTTCTCCCAGTGAGCACACAGTACTTCTGTCAATGAGTACAAAATGAGTACATAGTACATTTTGTTCTTCTGTCTGTGAGTACATAGTACGCCTGTCAGTGATAACACAGTACTACTTTTGTCAGAGAGTACACTTTACTTCTGTCAGTGAGTACACAGTACTTTTATCAATGAGTGCACAGTACTTCTGTCAGTGGGTACAGAGTGGGAACTGTCTAAGACGGCTGCTCATCGTCGAGGAGAACAGTGGCTGCATTAGACTGGTGACCGTCTTCCACAGTGCCATTTTGTTTCAGTCTTTAGTTTGAGTAAGAGTTGCAACACAATTAGTCAAAATAATATAAGCGCCCAAGATTAGAAGTGTTACAAGAGAGTAACGTTCACAAAAAAGAGAAATATGGACGTCATAAGGTTCTAAAAATATACATGGGAGGAAATGGTAAGTAGCGGTTTGTACATGTGATTGTCTTATATACAGGTGTGCGTTATAGCTTTTTGACATTTTTCTCTCGTATTATAATTCTTCTAATGTATGTTTATGGGTGGTTGGTAAGTGTTCTGGTATGGTTTGTTCCTTCTCTCCTCTCAGAGACAAAGATGCTTCGATAGGTTGATTGACATATGCATGCTAGACAGACGAATAAACTACCGAATACGTGGGTGTGTTGGAGAAACATATTTACGAATTACCTTTGAATGGACTGTAGGTGTTTTGAAGGATTGACAAGTAAATAGAGTACTAAAAGGATTGTGCTGTTCAATTTGTAATAGTTAATTACTTGTTGAATTCAATAACTCATTCAAATTATTGATTTGTTTTGACTCTAATAGGCGTATCAGCATCCCCTGCGTGTTGATACACGGGGTCCTAAGGACGACTAGCAAAGAGCCGACGTCTCTACTGAAACACAAGGCCCGTCCCAACCATGTGTGGAGCATGGTGCTTGTGCAGGTGAGCCCTGATTCTGTCTTTTACACACACACACACACACACACACACACACACACACACACACACACACACACACACACACACACACACACACACACATACATACATACATACATACATACATACATACATACATACATACATACATACATACACACACACACACACACAGACTTCAGATTGGTATAATAATCACAATGTACTAGTATAATAGATAGGTGTTAATGTTATTTAACCTTTCTGCCAGTCGTGGACTGAATAATATGTCCTAAACTCAAAACACAACTAGACCTAAAGCAATTCAGTTTCTTGAAATGAAATGAGATGAAATGAAGTAGTAAAGGTTTAACGCCCCTATCAACACTGTTAGGTTAGTTAAGAGGCGGGACCACCGAGTTTAACGTCCATCTCCGAAAGGACCGAGCCAAATGGGAAATTCGTGTAAAGTGCCTTTCCACCGAAGCCAACATCCAGCTTCTTGCAGTTCCTGAAGTTTGTTCAGTTTAACAAGTGAAAGTCTGTGAAGAATCAATTTCACATAGTCTCATCGTGAGTTTTGTTCGTTATGTTCACCAGGAGCAATGGCGGTTGGTAGACTGCGCATGCGGCACTGGCTTCTTCGACCTGGAGGACAAACAGGCCCGGCTGAGAGAGTTTTTTTTCCTCCCCGACCCAGAACATTTCATCATAACCCACTTTCCCCTGGCAATGTCCCAGGAAGGCACAGACGTGAAGTCTTCTCCCGCCAACGGCTGCAGTTCGACCAGTCTTGAGGTGTGTGTGTGTGTGTGTGTGTGTGTGTGTGTGTGTGTGTGTGTGTGGATTGCGGGCAAAAGCAAAGTTGGTATACAGACGAACCTGCTCAGGCGGCCATCGACCTAAGGCAATATCCTGTTGAAACGATACCTCTTACCACTCCCTCCCTAACTTTTGCTTAAAAAAAGAAAACGTTGCCATGACACTGTCCAATATGTCCACCTGTCTTTTTGTTATCTAGAATGGTCGGCTGTTTTGAACAATTTCGACTGTATAACCCCGAATGTTTTGCGATAATCAGTTATCTCAATCAGCTGATTTCTCTTTTCGTAAGATATAGCACCAACTACACTATGCCTCCCACAGTCACCCGGATCTGTGAATGTGTTTAGTTCACCATAGTTCCGGATGGAAGATGGTTCGGGTGAGAGGTGGGGGTGTCCAAGTTCACTTTTACCAGATTGCAGACGTAAGAAATATTATATTATAGGTTGCACGTTGTATTTACTTCTTTCCACCAAATTCAAAACAATATAGTTTTAACAGTAACAAACAGTAATATCAGTAATATATTTTAACCTATGAAATACCCTTCTATAGGAATTCGTTAAAATGTGTTCCGTGAATGTGAACATTTTTTTTTCGTTTCTTGTTATTTTTATCAGGTCAAAGAAGGTTTGCAAATGCTTGAAAACCCTTTAAAATTCGGCCAGTTCTGCCAACAAGCAATGACGTCAATTGTCGCCTTGGAATCAGGACTTGAGCTCTCCTCACACGCTCATGCACACGTCACAGTGAATAAGTATGTTTTCCTACTTTTTTTTTTTTTGGCATTGCCCATTTCTACTATCATGCCATAAAATTATCCTGTGATAATTGCTGAGGAACCATAGTGACATTAGTACTAGCATAATTTTTACTGCTCCTATTCATTTTTCTTAAAATCCTTCCCTGTTTTATCTAATTCTTTTTTTTTTAATTTGTTTTAAAAAGTTAATAGGTTTTATTTACTTGGCGTTGACGAACACCCACACACACACGTTTTCTATTTCAGTGGCATTGCTGGAAAGTAAGCAGCTTAAAGGCATCACCATTTTCCACACTTTCTATTAACATAATTTACATTAGCTTCACTTTTTGTCTAAAAGATATACAGCAAAAGAACACATTTTCTTTTATGTCTGGTAGACCTTTGTGAAATTTGAGACACTGTTTGGAGCAGCAACGAGTTTTTAGAGAGCGTCACAGGTAAATTCTACTTCTTTTCTTTCCCTCTGCTGTCTTGGTCTGACTTTAATGCTTTTTCTCAACTCTCGCTTTTCTATAGTTCAGTCGATATTCTTCTCTTTGCTCAAAGAAACACAATAAGATGCATGGGATGACTGACGCTGCTTTGCTGTCGTTCCTTCTCTTGCAGCAATCCCAGAGATAAACCTAATGAATTTCGTTAACTCGGACAGGGGTGAGCGTTTTGCCTTCAAGTGCCCGGAACTGAGTGACTTCGCTACCGTGTTACGAGAGAAATCTTCCTCCCAGGAATGCAAACACAGCACTTTATGCACGAGGAAGGGAGACAGCGAGTACAGAGCGTTCGTGAAACCAGAGAACCGCGGCAACTACAAGTTGAGCGTTTACGGTAAGCTCAAATTCTCAACTGACCGCTCCTTTCATTTGCTTGTGGATTACTTCATTACCGCGGACGAGGTGGAAGATCAGTTCTCTCCCTTCCCCCAACATTTTGGCGTGTGGGGTCCAAACTCCCTGGCGATAGATTTCGGGTTTTCCAGACGAATTTACAAATTCGACGTGCTGGCGTGCAGAAGTGGAGAGCTTTACGTGAAGTTACCAATCTATAAATTCACCAGGACAAAGTCTGTTTTGGCGCCAGCTGTAACAGACAAGGGAGACGACTCAAATAAGACTAACGGCGGGATGTTTAATAATTTGTCCACCCTCACTCAGTATGCTGAGGGTGTGGTACATATCAAGGCCAGATTCCCTGAAGACGGGTTCTATTCCCTGTCACTTCTTGCCCAGAATCACGAGATCACTGATGACGCAACTACCACGTTCATCAACGTGGCAAATTTCGTGGTCAACTGCATGAGATCATCACCAGTGGCCAGTCCCTACCCGAAATGTTTCCCCATCACCCAGAACTATCAGTGTCTACTTCTAGAGCCGCTCTTCCGAGACCTTCATGTGGGCCAGACATACACGTTTAGACTTCGGTCTCCAATATTGAGTAAGGTGAAAATCGAAAGCCAGGCCATGGTCAAAATACAGGTGTCCGACGACGAAGAAGACGGGCCGGGCGGGTCCAAAAGCGAGAAAGGGCGACCCACAGAGGAAGAATGGATCGCAGAGTTCACGGCCAAGTGTGTGGGTTCGTCAGTGTGTATCTACGGCTGCCCGGAGTCGTCTGCATCACTGTGTGCTCTTTATATCTTCAACGTGACCAGCGCGGAGTCAGACGTGGAGACCATGAGTACACATATGTGAGACGCGCTTGTGACATCATGTGGCGTTATATTGGATATTGGCCACTTACGTCAGGTGATATTGTGAAATCATAATATGACTTTATATTGACAGCCTACATCAAGACGATTTGTGAAAATATAAGAAAAGATCAGATGAAATAAGATAATACACTGAACACTATATTATTACAGATACCCTACGTCAAACCGTCTTGTAATAATATATTATGTGTCACAACTTGGTGGAACCAAGTGCTCCCAAATATTTTGGCTTATGGGGTTATTTGTATCATCTTAAAGCTTGTTCATGTGTCTTGCTTTTAATGATAACAATGCTCTTCGATCTTGAATAGAGGTCGACATATTTGCAAATGAAGGAGGTGGGGGCCTCCTTGTGTCAGATGTAAGATACGCTAGAAATTGGCCGACAAAGGTTGATGACTTCCAAAGCGTGAGTGTCCTTAAAAACTTAAAATTGCGTACATTATTTTTTTAATCAATATTTTCAAGTAAAATCCACATAGAAATGTGTTTTCAAAATGGACATATAAAATGTTGAGCAAAAAAAAACCTTGATAAAAATTGCCAAATAGGTAGGGAAATGGCGGTTTCTTCGTATTCATTGTTTTAACGAGCACCTGATTTCATGATGCTACATACATTATTATTATTATTATTATTATTATTATTATTATTATTATTATTATTATTATTATTATTATTATCATTATTACTATTATTATTATTATTATTATTATTATTATTATTATTATTATTAGAATTATTATATTTTAAGATGCTATATATATACCCTAAAGTGTGATATGCATGTATTATGTAAATATTATTAAACGACGTTATGCGGGTACTCTTAGTAAAGCAGGATGATGAAATTGTGTGACAGAACATTTTGAACTATACATCAACCCGTCAGCGAAAAATAATATGATGTTACATGTATAATATTGTCACTCCTCGCCCAACACAATAAAGCAACGTAACTCTACAAGTCATGCTCAGCCCCCATCAAGCTATTTATGAGACACAAATGTCACAGGTGGTTTCAGGCGCTCGTCAGTTCCGGGACATATGGAGTTACTGGTATCGTGTAAAAGCTTGTTCTTTTTTTTTCTTGCTTTTGACGGGAAAATACCTATCTATCCTGAACAAAGGTCGTGATATTTCCGATTGAAGGAGATGGGGGTCGTCTGGTATAAGAAAAATTAGCAAGAAAATGGCCACCAAAGTTTAATTGATGACTTCCGAAGGTTGGTTGTCCTTGGAAACTTCAAATTTACAACGTTTTCAGTCAAATCCATACAGAAATGTGCCTCTAAATGGGAATTTTAAATGGGAAAATCTGTTGACCCATTTTTAAAAAATAGAAAATGCCCAACGAGCAGGAAAAAAGTTGATTTCTTCGATTACATTATTCTGACGAGCGCCTGACGTCATTGCAATACCTCACACATATTATTATATTGTAACGCTGATTTGATTCTTCATGGCGGCTTTACATAACAGTGGATTGTAACATTTTGAGATACTTAATTGTCAGTTCGTGAAATGTCTGTAATTAAAATATTTAGCTTGTTGCGTGAAATTGATGAATGATGTCCTTCATGGATAGTTTCTAAACAACAGAGTAATGAAACATGTCCAAAACACACCATGTATAGAAAAGGAAGTAACACTGGAATAACCTTTGCATAAAATGTATTTTATGTTTCTTTCCAAAGTAGATGTTTTCAATATGCCAAAATGTTTTTGATGTTCTTTTTTGTAATAAATAATGCTACGGCTCAAAGAGAAGATGCAAAACAAGACAACCGTTTCGCATGATAGATAGCCGAAAAGTTTTGACTTGCGTAATTCCAAAGATTATGTGCTGTGCTGTACAGAAAAGCACAAAGAGAACATGGAGATTATGCTGAATGACAGAACATGAAAGTCCTCTTTATCTTCGCTTGTTCTAACCTTACCTCGTGCCTCTTTATTTTCATTGTGAACCCTCCTTTCCTTCTTTCGTTCTTCCCCTTATCACAGTGATATACATGAACACTCGTAACTCAAGTTGCCACTTTAGAAAAAGCAAAAATCATAATGTCATAACAATAAGCGCAGAGCTCTTCGTAATTCATACTTCGACAACAGTGTTTTTGAAGTAACGTACATTTTAATGTCTCAAATACAAGAGCGAGCAAAGTAGCGAAATTTGTACAAATGACCCAAACGTTTGAATAAAAACACAAATGTTTCTTTTAGTAAAATAGATAAAATGACAACTGTGCTGTATCTGTAAAACAATCATTAGAAAGTGTTAATCAAATTTCTGAATGTGTTAAAGTCAATTCTAACATCATAATCAAAGAACTAAAGTGATTTACACAATGCGACCACGGACAAAACATTTAAATGTATGCATACAATGTTTGTTTTTATTTTTAACATCGATTTAATTCTGTCCGAAAGAAGATGCAAAAACAATTTATCGTTCAATACTTACAATCTAGTTTGCAAGTAAAACATAATAAGCTCCACAAGATCATCAATGTTTTGCCTTGAATGCTCTTTGCTGTGTCTCTTTTAGCTTCTTGTTGGCTCCAACTTAATAACCAAAACATTTTTGATGACCTTGACATTTTATACTGGCTAAACCAGTATCCTAATAATATTCAATGTTCACTGAATTATGAGAATGTTACAAAGAAAAGATTGACGAAGAAAGTTTTCACTCAATTAAAGAGGGAAAAAAGGGAAAGTATCGTGGGAGTTAAAGCAATAATACCAGGCCAAAGAAAATGATGATGAGATTGATATTTTGCTCTTTATGTGGATTAATTTTGAAATGTAAAAAAGAACACCCTAGAATGTACGAATGCTGTACACCTTTTTCTATTTTCAGGTTTTCTGTAGCTTTTTCCCCATTTTTTGCCTTTTTCTTTGAAGAAAAGTCTCTTGCCTGCTCGAACTTGACTAATTAAGCTTAAACTTTGAGAACAATTTAATTTCTTTCCTTCAAGACTGAATATCACTCTCAATATTCCGCAATGTCTTTCAGGCCCAGAGAGAACATCGCATGATAAAGTTATAGCCTCGAAAGAGAACTTGTTATATCAAACATATTATTGGATAGTAAGTCGAAGAACTTACTCAATAAGCATGCAAAACGTACCAACAAGTTAAATGGACAAACAAGCAAACAAACAAACATACAAACGACCAAATAGGAAAACAAACAAACGAACAAAAACAGACCGACAGACAAACAAACAAACAAACAAACAAAGAACATTTTTTAGAAGGAGCGAGTTGTAAGCCTGAAACAAGAAATTGAAGGCAAGCTACCACTTCGATGAGTTTTTCACTGAAATTCAAACCAGCGTTTCCGATTTTTTCATCATTGGCCGCAGCTTGTCCATAACTTTCTGCACCTCTCCGAACACAGAAGCAAGGTCAAGGATGATTAGGGAACCGAAGGTCAAGGTTAGCATGGCTATCCCCAGTCCTCCCATACCTGTTGGATGAAAACGATTGGAGTTAACGAGTCTCATCGTACTAAATGTTGCAGACGATATCTAATCCAATTTATCAAAATTGATTATACTGAGCAGTCTCAACTCTCAGCATGTCTTAGTCTCTCTCTCTATCTCTCTCTCTCTCTCTCTCTCTCTCTCTCTCTCTCTCTCTCTCTCGCTCTCTCTCTCTCCTTCTGTTTCTCTCTCTCTCTCTTTCTCTTTCGCTCTCTCTCTCTCTATCTATCTATCTCCTTCTATGTTCTCTCTCTCTCTCTCTCTCTCCCTCTCTCTCTCTCTCTCTCTCTCTCTCTCTCTCTCTCTCTCTCTCTCTCTCTCTCTCACTCACTCTTTCTCTTCTTCTTTTCAACATGCACGATTTTTGCGCTATTCACAGCTATTCGAAATGTGGAAAAGCCTTTGGAATACTATGCAATTTTTTTGGATGATGGATTTTCTTCGTCTCATTTAGTCAATCCGTAGTAAAATTAGAGCATAATATAATATTAAACGCACACTGAACTGAGAATAACTGTATGGTGGGTAGGGAATTTTGAATAGCGTTATGCTTATGATAGACTCGTATTATTGCAAAATTAGAAGAAAAAAATTAATCGCTCCTGGTAGTCGAATAGCAGGAATAGTGACCACGCACTTCGAAGTAAAAACTTTATGCACACAGTATTCGAATAGCACGAATAGTGACCTGTTACGCATCGAAGCTGCGATGAAGGTTGGTGGGTTGTCTTTTGTTGTGTTGTTGTTGTTGTTGTTGTTGTTGTTGTTGTTTGTTTTGTTTTTTTGGGGGGGGTGTTTTTCTATTAATTCTTTGTGTTTAATTCTCAAAATCGCACAGCAGCACCCACCAGTAGACGTGGGCCTCTCATCCTTGGCGCTCTCCTTCCTCCTGATGGTTGCAGACAGGTTCCCAGTGGGCACAGACAGCTCTTTCTTGGTCTTCTCCGCCACTGCCACTGCAAAGGCCGCGAATTCCTCCTCTGTGCGGGGCAAGATCACCTCAGACCTGTCAGTGTTGCACTTGCACAGCACGCTGCAGGTGTCTTCGGGGAAGGAGGCCACTGGAAGTTGAAACAAAAATAAGAAGAAGAAGATGAACAACAGCAAAATGGTGGGACGTTGTATCCCTTTCAGTCAGGGTTGGCCCTCACAGGCAGGGTCGAAGCAGCCTGCTTCTTTACTGACTTTAAAATGGTGAAATGGTTTAGGTTTAACACCCCTATCAACACTATTTAAGTTTATCGCCCTTATCAACACTATTAGGTTATTTAAGAGGCGGGACCTCCGGGGTTACGTCCACCTCCGAAAGCGCCTGACCAAGCTGAGCCTCGAACCCCCAAAACTCACAATCTCAAGTCTAACCACTAGGCTACCGACCGACGCCACTTACTGATTTTAATAGTGTTGGCGGGGGTGTAAAAATTATATACTTAAATACAGTTTTATTTACTCTTCACATTCCTACTCGACTTTGTACGTAGTTGTCGTGGTCTGCTGTTAAAAAAAGATTGACATAAAAATGAATCAGTCTACGGTTGAAATAAATTAAAAAATACATGCACCTTTTACAATTATAAATGCGTGTATAATAGCAAGCAAAACAATGACAGTATGATTAGAAATCACCTCATCGAACTTTGTAATTCCTTTATATTTTTACAAATTCTTTTTTATGTCCAAAACTTTAATGAGGCAGACAAAAGCATGCATACTATGAAATAGACATATGCAAATTCATGTCTCTGATTTGAGTAGGATGATTCGGATTGAGCTGCAACATATTAATCTGCTGCTGGTCGGACATATGGTGTCCGCTTCGTCCTTTAGGAGTTAAGGTCGATGTCACACATCGTGTCACTCAAACGCGCGCGCGAACGAGCCGTGAACCTCAACCGCGAGGCCTGACACTGTACTCTGTCTTAACCATGCCTGGCGTCGAGCCTTGATTTTGCAGCAAATAGTTACCTCAGAATAACAACGTTCTGTATGCTCATTACTTAGTGTTGAGAAATTTGACGTCAACAGTTTTGAATTTCACAACATGTCAAGTTTTTCGAAGCAAGTTTTTAAAAATATCTTGATAACGACTTCGAATAATACCTTGATTTTGACAGAGCAGATAGAACATTTAGTTCCTGACTTCACATTTTTAGTAACTCAAAACAAATGTCAGATAGAATTTTATAATTCTAAGGTAGCGAAATATTATATAGCGCAGCATGGATACTGGCCAAACTTGTGTGACTCAAATTTGCTACATTTTAGAGAAAAAGAAAATACTGAGAAAAAGAGAGAGGATGTGTAGGTATTCACATGGAGGTGCCTTTGATAATTTTGAAATGTTGCTTGAAACTTTACGGCTTCTTCAAGCAAAGTTCTGTTGTTTTTGTTTTGTTTTTCCTTTGTCCATGATTTGCACTTTTTATCCGTTCCTGGTTCCGGGGAAGTTGAAGACGATTTCCTCTTCCGTGCCAGCATTTGCGAGATTCATTAACATCTGTATTGCCAAATACTAGATCTAGTAAAAAGTCTATTTGGTGGGAAATGGGCATAGTGATAGACTGGGAACTGCGAGGGTATCAATTCTAATTTGTAGAGCGTGTGGTCCCATAACTATATTTCAGTTCATCTGTTCGTTGATTACTTTTGTTGGTCTTCTCATTCACCTATTCATCGAACGTAAACACAGAATCAACAGTGAAACAGAAATGGAGCAACGAGTCTAATGCTTAGAATTGATACGCTCACAATTTTCTAGTTTGTAAATAATAACTATATGCCCGTTTTTCCTTTGGACCCTTGTATTAGTAAGGCTAAAATAAGTAGTAGAGCACACACACACACAGACACACACACACACACACACACACACACACACACACACACACTCATACACATACACACACACACACTCGTGCGCGTGCATACACACACGCACGCACACA